TTACATTTCATTTATAAGTTTAAGTTATTTATAAACATTCGCTCTCAAAACTTATTAAAGGTTTATTTGAAAAAACTTTTAATAAGCTTAATATTAAAAATGCCTATTTAACGCTTATTATAGCAAACTTAATTTAAGTTATTTTTAAAAACGTTTACTGAAATGCTTGTTGGGATGTTTACATTTTTTGTTTTGGCTACCTGGATCACTGTATACTGTGAAAAAAATATTTAGTACAAAAATAATTGTGATAAATCAATTTTGTATATTCTTCTGCGAAAAAATGTCTACAATCGATGATGTATATGTATAAATATCAAGATGTGTCTGTTTTGCTCTACGGTTGCGATAAGTTGCTTTGGAAATAAAATATTTGTTTTTGTTTCAATTCCAGATATGTTCAAACTTTAAAGTAAGAAATATATCAACCCTGGGAACAAATTATTGGTACTGAATGGTAAAAAAAGTGTGCATTCATTCTAAATATACATAATGTGTGAGTGCGAATGCTGCTGAACATTCACATTCTATACTGAATGGCAATCTAGCATTCAATAACAAAACAAAGTTTGTTTGTTTTCAAATATTTTAAGCCACTCAGGAATGAAGTTTTTATTTATACAAACCAACAATCAACATTTTGAAAGGAATGCCGAGTGAATGCAGACTATGTTGATTCAATCATTTTACAGCTCTGGTATGTACATACAAACGAGCACCAATTAATTTTATTTAAAGAATGGCGTGTCGTCTATTTCCGGTGTAGCAAACGTAGTACATAGGGCGACATCTAGATGTCATCTACCTCGCCCTATTCACTATGCTTTTTTATAGGAGCTTTTCAAAGCTTTGCTTTATGGTGTCGGACACACAACATTGAAAGCTTCTGGAACACAACATTGAAAGTTTCTGGAACACAACATTGCAAGTTGATAAAAGCGTTGTAAAAAGAAAAATAATTAGTTTTATTAAAATGAAATGAAATTAAAAAGATTTGTTTTTAAAATAATCAAATCTTAAAAACTAAGTCTAACAACTTATAAATTTGAAAAAGATACTAAAGTTAACTAAGTTTTTAAAAATTAAATTGTAATTCAATTCTTCTAGAATTTATAGAAATTAAAAGAAAATTAAATAAAAGTTCACTAAACTAGAAAGGTAAAAACCATAAACTAGATTCCTAAAAATGATACCAAATTAAAAAATTAAATTATATGTATATATTTATTTTTTTTTAAACAATGAAATTTAAAAACTAAAAGAAAATTTAGTTAAAAAGGAGCTTAAAGTTACAAAATATTAAAGTAAAATAAATTTCTAAAACTTAATTTTAAAAAATTCCTTTCTTTTTAAAACAGTAAAATCTAAACATTAAAATTAAATTATATGGAAAAAATTTTATTAAGCAATAAAGAAAAAACGGAATAATTATTTAAATCAAATGAATTTAAATTTTATATATTTTTCTTCTTAGAAAAATAAAATCTAAAAATTTTATTTTAAATATGAAAAAATTTAATTTAAATAAGAAAAAAATGTAATCAAAGGAAAATAATAAATAAAAAAATCCGCTGCTAAAAGATTCGAACATCAGAACTCTCGAATGGCACGTGAGTGCTTTGCTGTCTCGGATATTGTGACGGTTGTAGCAACAGTAAAAATAAAAATAAATACATAAGTACATATTAGGGATATTAATTTTTTTCGCTTTTTACGATCCCGGGATTTTTGGGATGTCATTATCACAACCCTGGGATCCCGGGATTTAGATATTCATTACTTTTCAACAACTTAAATCGAAAAAATTGCTTCTATATTGTTTTAGAAGCTCTCCTACCATAAAATAAATAATAAATAAATGGGTTTTAAACCGACTTTTTTATTTAAAGTGGCGTTTTTATTTTTTCTCTCTGACGCTAGGATTTATTTTAAAGGACTTTGTAATTTCAAAGATATGATTAATTCCAAAAATTATTTAAAAAGTTCAATGTAATGTAGAATAAATGAGAATTAAAATGAAAGAGGATTAAAAACAATAAAAATTTTTTGGATTCACAAGGACGAATAGGTAATTTTTTAAGCTGATAAAGTTGGAAGGACGAAATTCGAGGATGTTATCGAGTTTATATAAGGTTAAAATTTTATATGGACATTTTCAATACTTACTAGGCCTTATGCACCAAAAACTTTTATCTGTTTACATTCTACAGAATTTCCTCTTCAATTTGATATACATACATACTTCTTCTCTAAGCACATTTCACTGAATTTTTTAAATAATTTTTGTATTACTGACGTCAGAGTGAACAACTAAAAACGCAATTTTACTACATTTGGCCCATGGTTTCGCGAATACATTGATTTTTATGTGTAATATTTACTATCGCACGGTGTTATATGTATAATGAGCTACACATTTATAAAAAATATTAATTATTAATTTTAAAAAAGAAATATAGCCAATACTGGTCACGGAAAGGAGTTTCTGTTATTGCCATCAATGCAAATTACAAGTCCCGAAAATCCCAGTATTATTTTCCAAGAATCCCAAGGGCTTTCCGGAACCTATAAAAGGCCCGGGATTAACATTCTTAGCCCTAATATATAAATTATACGTAAGTACATGATACATACATGTGCATATGTGTGTATGCCACAATGTACATATATTTTGTAAATCACGTGAAATCACTCAAATGAATGAACTTTTCGTAAAAATACAAACTTTGTTTACAATTTATTTTGTTTTGTTCAGAGTTTGTGCCAATAGCAGTGCGAACACATTTAGGGGATTTACAAAACGTCGCAAGCGTCGTAATTTCTTAAAGTCGTAAAATTTTTCAATTTATTATACATAAATACATGCATACATATGCATATGGCGCTAAAAATATTTTGATCGAAAAACGAAAAATCCACATGCTGCAACCCTTGCGGAAATATGTGCAGCTTTGCCATTCAATTTCTTACTCGTTCGTTTTTAGGCATGCCATTGTTACGAATTTCGAAGGTTCGAAAATATGATTCGGATTGCAGCACACAACTTCTACGATTCGTAGCAAAATCCGAATAGGAAAGAATTCCAGAATAGGGGTATTATTGGGTGGGGTTTAGTACCGCTCACCAGTATTTCGGGCAATTCCATCCAAATGGGTGGCACGATCCAAAAAAAATTTCACACACTTGTAGTCAAGGGTCCACGCAAT